AATTTATGTCATAGCTCACAGTCACATTGGTACAATATAAAAATGTTTACGGGCATTTTGCAGTGTGTTTTCAATACAAGATATAATCACCAAGTTTGGGGGCGGGGGAAAAGTCCACGCATTTTCAAAGAATCTCTGTGGATATTAAAGGAATCCTTAAGGTCCTAATGTTCTCTTCAATCTTTGGTTAATTTTTGAACCTACATTTCATTTTCACAGGTCTTAAAAAATAAAAGTAATTTTTCCCATTTGAAGTTACATTGACCTCTCGTACTTGAAAAATCTGAAGAGACTTAAGAAATTTCCTACTAACTTTGTTTTAAAATCCATGTAAGTACCAAGATTTAATAATAACAAAGAACAAATATTCATTCCTCAAAAAAATTATAGAACAGAAACCTGATGGGAACAACCCCTACTTCTAACCAAAACCACAGGTACAAATACAATATTACCTAATATATAAAACCGCCAGGTGTGTAACTCAAAAAGGCCGCTTTGAAAGGTACATAGGAAGAATTCCAAAGCAATAATTTTTGAAAAACAGAGAAAACTACAATGCCATACCCATACTTACACTTGTAAATCTTTCTTCAATTTTAGCAAATCTTCATTTTCTCCATTTCCAGATAATGCAGCTTCAACTTGCTGGAGCTGAGCTTTGTAGCTTGCCAGCTGCTTTGCTAAATCCTCTGACATCTGGGGAAAATAAAAAGGGTTAGACCACGAAAACTGAACCAAAAATCAAGGCATAAAAAACTAACTTCCCTGTCTGCCTGAATTACCAGTTTTTGCCTCCAACTCCTTCTAACACTGCAGCTTAACTCACCACCATTACCTTTACTCAGTTTAGACTTCACCTAAACCACAAACTTAAAGGCAACAGCTTCCGAAGATTATAAACTTGAGATACAGTCCATACTTTAAAAAAGCATACAGATACAAAGAAATTTCTAATTTTCTTTTAACTCCTATCCACAGGGTAGGTGCTGAGTTCGGCTCAATAATCGTTACCTTTTTAAAAAGCACTACTCTGCTGGAAAGGTCGAAACTTTCAAAAACAATCCAAATACTTATTTTTAAGCACTAAAGTACGCTTCCAAAGTCAAACAAGTACGTTTTTAACTTAACTACACAAACAACTAACTTTACGTGAACTATTCAATAAAGAGTGTATTTAAAAGTGCTTCTCCAGAACAAAAATCTTTCGCCCAGTCGCTTAACTATTTATCGCTGCATTAACTTCAGCAAAAAGAACAGCACAGGTACTCTCCCATTTAGACGTTCTAAGGAATGAGCCTTTCGCCAAATCCAGCTCACTCAGTTTCCTGAAAATAAGACACTAATTAACCCTTTTTGATGGTTTGTTAGCAAATGTACGACGTTTCCGAGGACTCTTCTCTCTCGTAAAATCCCCGTCCAACCAAAGGCTGGGAGCCGGAAAAGGCCCCCAAGAGTTACAGCGACTCAGGCTGCTCTCCTCCCCGCCACGCAGCGCCTCAAAGCCCGCCACAACTCGATCATTCGGACCTGGAAATCCAAACGCCAGCTCAGGACCACCGCCTGAGCCCCGCTGTGCTCCAACAGGCAAGCTCCACAAGGAGCCGCGCGGCGCCCAGCCCCACCCGATCCGGTCCCCTGCGGGCCGTGTTTGCCGCCGCAGCACGGAGGCCAGCGCCGGCCGGGCCGCCGAGGCTCAGCTCTGGCTGGGAGACGGCCATGGCTCCGGGCTCCAGGGCCAGAACCTGGGCGTCTCCGGCGAGGCGAGTTCCTCGGCCTTGGGCCTCCGCTTCACCTCGGGAGGGACCCGGGCCCGGCCAGGCCTCACTCTCTCCCTCAAGGGGTTGTTACCTTGTGTGGGGCTGGGGGCGGGGCAGCGGGAAGGGGTCGGGGCAAATAAGCCCAGTGGTAGTGGTGGCGGTAGCAGCAGCAGCAGTAGAAGGAAAATCTCCGCGACGACAAGACGACTCGGTCTGAAAAGGAAGAACTCGGTCGGCGGCGAGGGGGGAGGGGAGGAAAGCCGGGCACTGGAAGGAGGAAAAGACAGAGACGGTGAAGTCTCGCGAGAAATACAAACTCTCGCGCGAGTTCGCTCGACTCACGTGACTCTGCGCGCCCTCTAGCCTGTCCCTGGCTGTTAGGGACGCAGAGTAGGCGGGGCCTAGGACGGATATGGCGTAGCTGGGCTGCGCCAGGCGCGGAATGTAGGTTATCTTCCTGGAGTTCCGGCTTGGAATTTATTGGAAATGCAAATTCTCAAGCCCCACCCCAGACCTCCTGAATCCAGAGACTCTCTTTTAACAAGCCCACCGGATGATAGCAATGTCTGCTGACGTCTGGGAATCACTGCTTTTCGGGAGCGGTGGTGGTGGGTTGGGGGGGGTGTTGGTGGGGGCTCTCCTTATGTTGCCCTGGCTGTTCTCCAACTCCTGGGCTCAAGCGATCCCCCGCATGGGCGTCCCAAAATGCTAGGATTACAGGCGTGAGCCACCGCGCCCGGCCTGAGAACCACTGCTTTATATGATACAAGGCTTGGTAGCAACAGAAAGCTAATTAAATCGTGACAGAAATAACCTATTGGAGAGGAGATTGATTTCTTTAAAATCTTTTTTGTTAAAACCTACTTGATTTTAATTTAGTTGGGTTAATCTCGCCTGATAGGGAACAAAGTCCAAGTTAGTCTAGAATGGTAAACAGAGTGGTAGGAATACTGACATTTGTGTTCAAAAAGAAATGCCCCTTGTGTATGTTTGTAATAACATATACGCGTTCTGGACAGATACACAAACCTGTCCAGAGGTTTGGAATGGAAGCCAAATGTTTTATTGATTGCCTTCTTTGCTGTTTACTCTTTTTCCTTTTCTTCTTCTTCTCTCTCTTTTTTTTTTTTTTTTTTGAGTCGGAGTCTCGCTCTGTCGCCCAGGCTGGAGTGCAGTGGCCGATCTCAGCTCACTGCAAGCTCCGCCTCCCGGGTTTACGCCATTCTCCTCCCTCAGCCTCCCGAGTAGCTGGGACTACAGGCGCCCACCACCTCGCCCGGCTAGTTTTTTGTATTTTTTGGTAGAGACGGGGTTTCACCGTGTTAGCCAGGATGGTCTCGAGCTCCTGAACTCGTGATCTTCCCGTCTCGGCCTCCCAAAGTGCTGGGATTACAGGCTTGAGCCACCGCGCCCGGCCCTTCTCTCTCTCTTTTTTTTTTTAACCACTTGTATATAATTTTCTTTCAATTGAAAAAACAATAAAGGCCTGAGACACAAAGGGTTATATAGATGCCAGGAAGCAACCTTTCCTGGGAGGTGGGCAGTTTGTTGCTGGACCCATAAAAAGGCCCACTTCTTGCGGATCACCTGAGGTCAGGAGTTTGAGACCAGCCTGACCACATGGAGAAACCCCGTCTCTACTAAAAATGCAAAAAGGGGGGAAAAAAAAAAAAAAAGCCGGGCGTGTCCGAGCTACTGTAATCCCAGCTACTCGGGAGGCTGAGGCAGGAGAATCGCTTGAACCTGGGAGGCGGAGGTTGCCGTGAACCGAGATCATGCCATTGCACTCCAGCCTGGGCAGCAAGAGTGAAACTCCGTCTCAAAAAAAAAAAAAAAAAAAAGGCCCACTTCTCAGATGGGATCTTTTGAACTGTACCAACATCTTTAGTTCCTTGCTTTCTTTTCAAGGAGCCTTCCCTTTTGTTGTCTACATACACACACGTAACCCTTATAGTGAGTCAGATAACCGGTATAGATGGAAACTAGGTCAGGTTTGTGTGATTGGGATGGCAGTCAACTTAGAAAGATTGAAATTGCAGCAGAGGGCAGCAGTGTGTAGCTAGAATTAAGAGGGAGGACAAACCAGAAAGCATGTGCTTTTAAATAAAGAAGAGATTTGTTTAAAATAAAATGTAGTTTTAGAGAACTGCTGTTACTGTAATTGTGTGTTTTAAGAACCGATGCGAGGAGGAACTTCCTTGAATATAAAGTAAACCTTATTGTGTAAAAATCTCTTAAATGAGAACTTTTCCTGAACCCCATAGATCAGAAAATCGGGAAATATTCATTATCAGTTCCATTATAGATTTCTATACTATCTTAATAATTTTGTTTTCAGGATTGTTTTTATCTATGCAACATTCATTTGTAAAGAAAAGCTGTATTGAATTTTAATTTTCACAAAGAAATAACAGTTTGTATGTGCCAGATAACATTCTAAGCACTCTACACATGTTCACTTAATTTTCACAATTGTATGCAGTGTTTCTCCAGACAAAACTGGAGCAGACAAAACTAACAGCAATACTTCAGATAGGCTTTCTGAATTAGTACTTCCTTTGAAGTGTCAAAATTTACTTTCAGTGTCTGATTTTTCTTAAAACATTTGTGTTCAAACTTAATCATGTTTATTCAAAAAAAGAGTAATATCTTAAACCTTCAGTTTTGAAAGATGATTTTTATTTTATTGAAAGACGGTAAATAAATAAAATGTAAAGTTTCCAAATTGTCATCAGAATATACAGCTATTTCTACTAAAGAAAATTAAAGTATGGCACCATGGCACCCAGCTACTTGGAAGGCTGAGATGGGAGTCTGGAAGTTTGAGGCTGCAGCACACTCTGTGCCTGTGAATAGCTGCTGCACTCCAGCCTGGGCAACATAGTGAGATCCTGTCACAAATTTTTAAAAATTAATTTTTTTTATTTTAGATGGATTCTCGCTCTGTCGCCCAGGCTGGAGTGTAGTGGTGCGATCTCAGCTCACTGCAACCTCCACCTCCGTGGTTCAAGCAATTCCCCTGCCTCAGCCTTGTAAGTAGCTGGGATTACAGATGTGTGCCACCATGCCTGGTTAATTTTTTTTGTATTTTTAGTAGAAATGGGGTTTCACCATGTTGGCCAGACTGATCTTGAACTCCTGACCTCAGGCAATCCGCCCGCCTCGGCCTCCCAAAGTGCTGAGATTACAGGCGTGAGTCACAGCACCCAGCCTAAATTAAAAAAAAATTTTTTTAAAAGTATAGTTTTCTTTGGAAATGTGCCACCCCACTGCAGAGCAGAAGAATATGCAATGAAGTAATACATATTGGTCAAATAGGTTTGGGGTTTTGTTTTGTTTTGTTTTGTTTTTGAGACTGGGTCTTACTCTGTTGCCTAGGCTGGATTGTAGTGGTGTAATCTCGGCTCGCTGCAACCTCTGCCTCCCAGACTCAAGCAAACCTCCTGCCTCAGCCTCCCTAGTTGCTGGGACTACAGGCACACGCCACCATGCCTGGCTAATTTTTGTATTATTATTATTTTTTTTGCTAGAGACAGAGTTTCGCTATGTTACCCAGTTTGATCTCAAACTCCTGGGCTCAAGTAATCTACCCACTTTGTCCTCCCAAAGTGCTGGAATTACAGGGTGAGCCACCTCGATGGGGCAGAGACTGCATTCTTTATCTCAGCTTTTATTGTATCATTTCCTGACTAAAAGGAGCCCCAGATTTGGTCGCTTTTTTTCTATTTTGACAAAATGCCAAAGGTAATGGATTAGAGTTGTGTACGTAATCATAGTAATTGTTTTATGCTCCTTTCTTTAGTCCTAATAAGTGATTTGAATCTTTGCATAATTTGCTGCAGGACAAGCTACTTACCTTTTTGTGCTTATTTGAGTGTTTTTGGATACACTGCATGGAACACATGTATCCTGGGATGAAGCTTAGGTGGCATCATCCATTTAAAGTTGATGGAAAACAACCTGAAAATGGTGTTGGTCAGTGCAGGCGCTCAGATATTCATCAGTCATAGCAATACTGAATTGTTTGCTTAAATTTGTATGGCACAGCTAGCCTTAGCATGTGCATTTTCTTTTTTTTTTTAATTGTTGTTATACTTTAAGTTCTAGGGTGCATGTGCACAATGTGCAGGTTTGTTACATATGTGTACATGTGCCATGTTGGTGTGCTGCACCCATTAACTCCTCATTTACATTACATATGTTTCCTAATGCAATCCCTCCCCCACCCCCACCCCATGACAGGCCCTGGTATGTGATGTTCCCCATCCTGTGTCCAAGTGATCTCATTGTTCAATTCCCATCTATGAGTGAGAACATGCGGTGTTTGGTTTTCTGTCCTTGTGATAGTTTGCTGAGAATGATGGTTTCCAGCTTCATCCATGTCCCTACAAAGGACATGAACTCATCCTTTTTTATGGCTGCATAGTATTCCATGGTGTATATGTGCCACATTTTCTTAATCCAGTCTATCATTGATGGACATTTGGGTTGGTTCCAAGTCTTTGCTATTGTGAATAGTGCCGCAACAAACATACGTGTGCATGTGTCTTTATAGCAGCATGATTTATAATCCTTTAGGTATATACCCAGTAATGGGATGGCTGGGTCAAAAGCTATTTCTAGTTCTAGATCCTTCAGGAATCGCCACACTGTCTTCCACAGTGATTGAACTAGTTTACAGTCCCACCAACAGTGTTCCTATTTCTCCAGATCCTCTCCAGCACCTGTTGTTTCCTGACTTTTTACTAATCGCCGTTCTAACTGGTATAAGATGGTATCTCACTGTGGTTTTGATTTGCATTTCTCTGATGGCCAGTGATGATGAGCATTTTTTCATGTGTCTGTTGGCTGAGGATGTGCATTTTCAAGTATTCTGTGTTTTACACGTATCATTGAGGAACAGAAGACTGTACCACTAAAAAACAAAAATATGCCACTGAAAACAGAAAACAAGAATTTCTTGAGTTTGAGAAAAGATTATAGTCTAAGGCTTTACAGGATAAGAAATGTCAGGGTTTTTTTTTTGGTTTTTTTGTTTTGTTTTTTTTAATTGAGACGGAGTTTCGCTCTGTCGCCCAGGCTGGAGTGCAGTGGCCCGATCTCAGCTCACTGCAAGCTCCGCCTCCCGGGTTTACGCCATTCTCCTGCCTCAGCCTCCCGAGGAGCTGGGACTACAGGCGCCCGCCACCACACCCGGCTAATTTTTTGTATTTTTTAGTAGAGACAGGGTTTCACTGTGTTAGCCAGGATGGTCTCGAGCTGCTGACCTCGTGATCCACCCGTCTCGGCCTCCCAAAGTGCTGG